ATCTTCTCCAGAGAGTGGGTACCAGCGAGAGGAGACGGGCATAAGAAAAGGGGGAATAAAGTTGAGTATGGAGGATGTGCTTTGTATCCATATATGAAAACAGAAGAATGGAACCTGTTACAATTGTTCTAAGAAGGGGGAAAGGGGAGAAAGATAGAGGGGTAAGTCTAACTGAGATATATTGTAAGCACATATGTAAACATTGCAATGTATCCCCCTGTACAACTATTACATGCTAATAATTTATTTAAAAAACTCTGCTTTATAGGCACACCAGGACCCATAGTTACATTTCTGTCTTTCTCTAAGGTCAAATCTATGCATGCAGATATATACAGCAAATGTCTGGACATTTGTTATCTGCCAGGCACGGGGACAGGCAGTTCCCACAGCTGACACTGAACGTCACTTGAACTCAAAGGCACATTTCTTAACTATTTTACAGATGAGGGAACTGAGGCTGGTGAATGACTCTCTGCCTAAGGCAGTTCTGCTCAACCTGCTTTCCACTGGCACCTCCCCTAAGGCCCCTTTCAGACCATTTTTTTTTCCCAGTCAAGAGTCCCATATAATTTTACTACCACTAATACACAGCATATCTGTGTGTATACAGTATGTGTGCATTACACACAGAATGAACACATTTTTTCACCTTCCCAGAGCTAGTTTTCACCCTTTGGAGTTGTCAGGTGGAAAGTGGGAGAAGTTGGCTTTAATTATAGACCTACCTGTGTTCCTCCTTAACCACTGCACAGTAGTGATACTCTTGGACCTTACAGTCTTGCACCTTCTGCTCCTTCAGTGCCTTTCACTCATCCTCAGGGCAAGGCACCTACCCCTTCTGGTGGCACCGATGCCTTCCTGATCTGGCCCCTGCTGTCCCACACTCTGCTCCCACATGCTGCTTATGATACAGAACCACATATACGGGCCAGGTTTTCTCTCTCCAGCCTCATCCTCCTCCCCTGGCTCATACTTGCCTGGCTGTCAGATCTTCCAGGGAGATTTACCTGATCTCAACCTCCCTCCCAAACTGGACTGAAGCTCAACTTGGGCTTACCCTTCTCCAAACACTCTCTGAACTCTACTATAGTTACTCAAGTCTCTCCCAGTGCACCGTGAGGGCCAAAGGACTTTATCCCTGAGTTACCAAGCCCAACGGTGTATGGCAGGGACATACAATGCATAAATAGTAGAAAGCTACATATCCATGCAACAGTATGAATACCTTTATCATTTCATAAAACACAGTACACTTAGCTGAACCATCTAAACTAGCTGCCTTTTGAGGGCTTGGATGGTTCTTTGGGAATCCACCTCAAGCCAGCTTTAAGTCCATGGTTTTGTTAGCAATGACACTGACCTCTCCTCTAGGTTATAGAGGTAAACATTAAGACCTAAGCCTAACAAGCATATTCTGTTCCACTGGCCACCAGAAGACTCTGCGGATGGATCAATGACCTAAGTCAGTTTTAAGAGACACTACCTTAGCCAGGTGCCAGTGGCTCACACCTATAATCCTAGCTACTTGGGAGTCAGAGATCAGGAGGATCATGATTCAAAGCCAACCCAGGAAACCAGTTCAAGAGATCCTATCTCAAGAAAACCCACCACAAAAAAGGGCTGGTGGAATGGCTCAAAGTGTAGGCCCTGAGTTTAAGCCCTAGTACTGAAAAAAATAAACAAAAACCCAAAAAGATCCCATCTTGAGGCTTAACTGGAATTCTTAAAGAAAATCTCTTTTCATTGGGCTAGAGAAATCTAAATCTAAGATGGGCCAGAGGTCACTACATGGGAGCAGTCAAAGGGCCTGCCTTAGAGAGGACCACACAGATAGCAGATGCCAGAGGCAGCAAGAAAACCAGAAAGATCACACCAGTCAAGCCCTCACATGCTGTTCCATCTTTTGGTCCAGCCAGGCCTGATGATGCCCCTGAAATGTTCAATTCCATGAATCAACACACTTTTGTTTTTTGTCTTTAAAGTAGCTTGAAGTGGATTTTTGTCAACTGTAAGAGAAAAGGGTTCTGACCAACACCATGGATGAGAATATTATACACTGCCTGCTCACAATTACTATAAAACAAGTATTAGTCATCTTTCCCTTCCCTGATCAAAAAAGCAGGCCAAAGAAAGGGCACAGTGACAGTGCCTACCACATAGATTTGTAAGAACCACATGAAATTGTGTCACCCAACTACCATTTTGGCGGCACTCAAAATGGACCCACAAATACAAGCAAGCTCTAACATCATCATGCATTGGGAGACAGGTGGAGAGACGGAATTCAGAGACCTTCTGAATTTTTTCACTTCTTGATGAACCCATTAAACTCTGCATTATCAGTAACTCCAAGCAGAATGGTAGAGGGGGTGAATTCAAGTATGATATTTGATACATTGCAAGAACCTTTGTAAATGCCACAATGTACGCCTACCCAGCACAACAATTAAAAAAAAAAAAACCAAAAATAAACCAAACAAACAGAAAAACCAACTTCAAGCAAACACATAACCCAGAATACTAGCCACAAAGGATCAAATCTTGGTTGTGACAGAGACTGCTGCCATAAAGAGCTGGTGTAAACTGTGGTGCGAGGCCTGCCACTGAGGATACAACCCAGGAGAATCTGATCTGCCTTTTGATCTACTTATGTCAAGTTTGTTTGCCAATCATCCACTCTTACTGCCTGAAAAGGCAGAAGAGAGCACTGCTGTTTTAGCTTCGAAACTGCACTGCCAAAGGGACTCACACGTCTCCTCTGCATTTGCCAATTCTCTGTGTGAGCTCCCCCGTACTTCCTTCTTTCACATTAATAAAGAGAAAAAACACTGGACAGTAAAAAAGGTCCTTGTCCCTTCTCATGCTTAGCCAACTTATCCATCCTAAAATTAATCCAATTTTATTTTCTTTGCTCTGTAAGAGTTTTCTCTTTCACACTTATTTTGTGCTATTGGCATTAAGAGTTTGGTAAAAGCTCAAATCCAGACTTTCTGGATGAAGGCCCTTGCTCTGGCTACTTTAGTTCAAGTTTTAGAAAAAAACACATATCATTATAAAAATATCTTAGACATGCACTATTAATATATTTTCCATTTGGACTTACTGAGTTTTTCGGAAACATGAACAGTAGTCACTTCCTCAAGGTAAAGTACGTTCTTCCTGCCTTCCTTCCTTCTTTTTTTTTTTTTTTTTGGTGGAACTGGGGTTTGAACTCAGGGTTTCATGGTTGTTAGGCAGGTGCTGTACCACTTGAGCCACTCTATCAGCTCCAAAGTACATCTTAAATGCCAGGGTTTAAAGCTGCCTTTACGATATGCCCCAGTCTCTTCCACAAGAAATGTGGTACACTTGTGTTTTAGCTGCTCACGCCTGCTTGCCACATAGTCCACGGCCCTTCCTGGTTGCCATGATCCATTCATGGGCAGCTCATGCAAGATGGGCCCATCTATCAGAAAAGGTCCTAAGGTTTTTGCTAGAACTGCTTGTACAAGGTGTTTGTTTTTTGTTGTTGTTGTTTTGTTTTTATTTTGAGACAGGGTCTTGCTATGTAGCTCAATCTGGCCTTGTTTCTCCTGCTTCAAATCTCCCCAGCACTGGGATTATAGGTGTGACCCACTATACCTGGCTCTACAAGGTGCTTCTTTGTGCTGGGACTGCTAAAAAGGGTTAATAGTTTGGTGGAGATCTGTGGTACATCTCTGTTCCTGGGTGGAGAGAGACAAGACACTAAAACCAAAGCCAAGATATAGACATGCCTCTATCATTTTCCATGCTCAGTTAAACTCACATAGCAGCCTCCAAATAACCAGTGGGCTATTTCCTGGAGAAGGACAGACATGGAGGGGAGTCTGGTGTTCTCATGCTCACTCAAACATGATGAACTCCTACTCTATCACTAAGCTGGTCTGTAGCACTAGCAGTCCTAGAGGCACTGTCAGGCCTCCAGGGAAGCCTGAGATGAACCCTCTCCTTGTGCCCCTGTTCTAGTCAATTGACAGGAGATCCTAGGGTACACAGGCCATCTGTCAGCACAGGCTGTGATTCCTCCTTCAAAATACATCTCCAGGCAATCGATGCTCACCACCTGCACTGCTACCTGCTGTGAGCCACACACACTTCCTTCACTTCACCTCAGGGTTCTCCACTTCCGGTTCCTCTTCGATCCATGTGATCCTGACGTCAGATCACAACTCTCTACTGAACCAAACTGGATGTCAGGGTCAGAGGCAATGTGTTAACAAGGCCCTCAATGACCTGATCCTCCTCTGCCCTGTCTTGTCCTAACATCCTTCTTTACCATTTTCCATCTGTATCAAAGTGCTCTAGCCACATGCAACTCCTGGCTATGCCGGCAATAAGCCTGGCATGTGCCTGACTCAGGGTCTTTGCACTTGGTGTTGTCTGCTTTGAGGAGTATTGGTTGGGCTCAAATGAAGCCCAACTGGTTCTCACATTTAAGTTTTGCTCAAGTAGGCTTTACTCAACCACTCTGAACATGGAACTATACAGCCCTCCTCCTTCCAGAGTTACATTTCTCCATTACATGTATGACATCATCGTAAGACTTCGATGTTTCAGTTATTTGCTTTATTTCCTGTCTCCTCCACTAAAAGGTAAGCTTCATAAGAGTAGGAATTGTTATATTTTGCTCACCTTTATATCACTAGGTTCTTAGATAAATGGGAGGGGGCTCAAATTAATTGAATGAATAGAAAGAAGGGAAGGAGGAATGAAAGCACAACACCTGTTACACCTGTTTCCCACTGATGAGTCTTATTAGATAAAGAGCAGAAACCCTGAATGTTCATCTGAGAGGTGAAAGCAGCCAGGCTCACCAAGTGAGCCAGCATGACTCAACTAACCTGGCTAAACTCTGAAAAAAAACAGAGGCTGTGAGCTGGGCTCCCTGTGTGACACAGTGAGAACTGTTTGGGTGACAATGATGTATGGAAGCAATAGGTGGCTAACCCCCTCCCCAGCTGCCCAGCTTTACTCACCTCCAGTACACTAGCACAGCAATGAGAAGAATGAGGCACACGAAGGTCAAGGCTGATACCACAATCAGAGGGATGATCCACTCCATCCTCCCTGGAGAGGGGCGGCTTATCATTCCAGAGGTGTTCTTCTCTGCTGCAAGGAGAAATCACCCCACTTAGATGACAGAAGGGAGTGAGCCAGGGAACCAAAGCATGATGGGAGTGCCTGCCCTCACCCCACCTCCAGTCTATGGTTTCCAGTGAACTCAGCTGCTTTCTCTGGACTACCCTGGGACAGGAGGGGCAATCTGTAGACCTTCCCATTTCTTCCCAACCCAAATATGGCCTCTTCTGCAGGTGGCATTCTCTACTAGTCAGTGGAATGAATTTGCTGATGAAGTTCACAATGTTCTTAAAGAAAGCGAAGCAGAGGAGAGATGTCAGCCTTAACATGAACATCTCAATCCAGAGGGAACTGGGGCTCACTGAGGAAATGTGACCAAGTGCTCAGAAAGGGGCACGACACAGTGTCAGAGAGCCTGCTGGGTTCTCTAGTGTGTGGGCAGAAGCAACAGTATGGTGGGTTTCCCAAAGGTAACCAGGGCAGCAAGGTAAGACTACAGTGGCACCAATTTTTGCCTCCTTCCCACCCACTGCCCCTTCCTACAGTGACTCCAGCCTGATTCTGCTCTGGTAGACCATTTGGTGGGACAACCATCCAAGTGTGAGGCTGCCTACCTGCTGGCCAAAGGTGGGCATGGGACAAAGTGCAATGGTGCTCTTGCCTTGGCACGTGGACCAGTGACAAAGACTGAATACCAGCACCTGCTGGCAGCAGCACCTCCAGGCTTCTACCCACTGCCCCTACCACCCAGGTCCTCAGAAGTTCTGGATGTTCTCAAATCTTGTTCTCCAGAATTTCCTTTGATCCCATCACCTACCCTTGATCCTTCTAAAAGCTCAGGACAACGGAAGACAGGAAGCCACACCTCACCCTACTTGTTATATACATTTGCCTCTAGATAGCAGCCACCATCTTGGGGTTAATAGAGAAAGTCTGTGAACTGGCTCAGGATTCTCCCTGCTCAATACCTCTTATCAGGCAGCTCTTTCCTCCACCTTTCCAGCCGCCAGGAGCCTCAACAGGAGATCCAGTCTCCCTTGAACCATGGGGCAGATGCCTGGAAATGGTCAGTTAGCTGGAGTGAAGCTCAGATGCAGGACTGGGGCTGGGAGCAACACAGGTGCACAGAGGCCATCAAGAGAGGCAGGTGGCAAGGAAGCAAAGGTTAACTGTGACAGCAGGGAGAAGCCACCAAACAATCCAAAGCTAGCTGCAGGCTGACTTGTGCTCAGCAAGGATTCCACCTGCTCTGCAAAAATGAGGCCAGCACGCTGTCAGCCCAGAGTGTCCCTCTGCAGAATGGACTAAATGCAGGGCTAATCAGGCTGGGTTTCCAAGGGAGGGAAGGAGGGTTGAAAAGGAGAGAACTAATTGGCCCTGGGAGCAGATATTTAAAGAGGCAAGACTCGGAGTCGCGAGGTGGTGTGTTACAGTATGTTCCACTGGGTTTCCTTGGGTGTGCTTTACGTGCAACACCTCCTTTGTTTCAGGCACAGGTCCCTCAAACAGGTTGGGCCTCATTATCTCTAGTTCACAGGTAAGAAGACAGAGGCAGGCAGGTGAAACACACTGTTTATCAAGGGCCTTCCTGGCTGTGCCAGTGCCTTTCTCTGGGTCCCATCTTCTCATTGCATGGGTATTTGTCAGGTCCCCACTGTTATCCGGCACGGTGCTGCAGGATGGTGTCACAGGATGGGGACGGAGTATGACCTCAGACAGGAGTAACTCCCTGCCCAAGAGGGAGGAGTTATTTACAGGGCAAGAGGCAGGCCTAAGAACAACCAATCTGAATTCAGTACCACGACAAAGGGAAATACAGGGCTCAGAAGGAAACAGCATCCAAGCCCAGGACTCCATTGCCTCCAGGAAGTAAGGTTTAGGGCAAGATCTGAAGGATGAAGGAGAGTTAGCCAGGCCAAGTGCAACGGGTGTATCCTTGGCAGAGACTATGCAAGTACAAGGATGGGAGCGTGGTCAAGAGCAAAACCTAGAAGCTAGATCAGCCAGGGATCTAAATGAAGGGAATCTGGTTACAGTCCTATGGATATGGAAGTTTCTGCAGGGTTTGACACAGAGGCAGACAAACATCAGACATGCATCCTCTCCTCCATAAAATTGTTTTTTAACTGAAAAGCAATGGCAACTAGCCAGAGGAACCAGAGTTGCAAATAAGAATAATTTTGTGGGGTCCCAACAGGGGTCAGCTCAGGCAGGCAATTATCTGGCTGATGGTAGGGGCATTTCAAAGACCTGGAGGTCCTGTTAATGGAAAAAATGTCAGGAGGGCTGCTGGAATAGGCCACAGGGCCAATTATCACAGTATTTATCCCAGGAAAGACACAGGTACCAGGGGACTCCCAGTCTTTTTTCTCTGCCACTCCTTACAGAAAAAGATTCTTGCTTAAGTGGCCACATGGTAGGCAGGCATTAGAAGGAAAATGTGAACTCACTGTCTGTCCCATCCTAGACCACTGAAAAACACTCTTGGCTAAAATCGCCACTTTCACTTACATTTTTAAATAGTCATTGGAAGTATCAGCTCTGTGGTATCTCTCTTACCCTAAACACTTTAAGACAAATTTCTAGGCCTTATGAGGGCTTAGGAGTGGTGATCTGTTTGTGAAAATCAGTGGCACTTTCACCATCCCTGAAATTGAATGCACATTTCTGTATAGGTACTTCTGTCTGTCCTCCCCTCCTCCTCTACAAGCTGAAGGTTCGTAGTTTTTGTCAGAGTCACAGAGAGGTAGGTAGGGCCAGGACCCAGAAAGATGGTAGACTCCTTGCTGTTGGAGGACAGAAGGCAAGTCTGGGTAGGGAAAGAGTCTTGAACTCACAGTGAGCAAGGGTCAGAGGTAGGCTCAGACTCAGGCTGTACCACTTGCAGTCATTTCTTCCTAACATTGTGTGATGCAGTACGATTATATTTTGGCGGCGGGTACTGGGAGGGGAGGAGAGCACTATCTGAAATCCTCAGCCCCCAAGGGCAGTGTCTATGGGGACCTCAGATTGGCAGCAACTTGTGGTGTAAGAGACCAAAGGAAACATTCTCCCAACAGTTGGATTTCGATCCTGACTCCTGGCAGGCAGTTGGATTTGCTGAGGTCTTTTCCATTAAGGCCAAACACAGGAGTGCTACCGGATTTCCATGTGGGACATGAGAAAGTCAATTTCACTTTCAAGTTCACAGCAGTTTTGTCTTCATGGCACTAGGAGCCTGAAATTGGGATTTCATATCCAGATGACCCCAAATTTTCTGACACTCTCCAGAGGAGCTCCTCTCAGCTCTAGGATAACCCCAAGTTCCTGCACAGAGAGGACATGGCCTGCTATCTGGCCCTGACATCCCGTCCTGGCACCTGCCCCTTGTGTTCCAGACACACCCACCCAATTGGTAATCATCCTTGGCTACCATCCCACCTCGCTGTCTTTCCCCTGTTGTTGCTACTGCCAAAAATGCCTTTCCCACTGGCCCCTGAAAGCTCTTACTGATCCTTCTCCTGGTCCTGGCTCTGTCTTCTCTGTAAGAGCTCCCCAAGCCCTCACTTCTGTGCTTTCTCTGGAGAGCAGAGTAAAATTGAAATCACAGGTTCAAATCCCAGTTCTGCCATTTCCTGTGTGTTGTTATTTAACCAATAACTTAAGGCAGTTTGTGCTTGAAGTTCATCTGTAAAATGGGATGAAAAGAACCTACGTCCCAGGCATGTTGGTAGACTGATTAGAAGTGTGCCTGGCACAGGCAAATGGCAAGTAAATGCCACCACAACCATCATCACCCCTTTGTGCAGTTCTTCCTGCTCATGTCACACTCCATTGTAACTGTTCTGTTGCTACCATACCTTCCCCTAAGCAGGGGATCTGCACCTGTGTTTAGAAAAAGAGGAAGAAAGCTCAATTCCTGCTCACTGTACAACTCTGTGTAAGTGTACTTTCTCTGTGCCTCACTTTCCATCTCTGTGAGTGGAGGAATGTAGTGATATGAAGATTAAATGAGTTAGTATCTGTGCTGCCTGGCACTCATCAGGACCTGGCTAAGGTTAGCTGTGGTGGCCATCAACGCCATCAGCAGTACCATTATCCATCACTATCATCCATTACTGCTCTCCTCCTCACCACCGTCTCAGCACAGCCCCAGGCAGATGGTGCTGGCATGGGTCTTTGCTGAACCTGCCTCCTCTCTGTAATACCTGAATGTGTAAGTGACAGGCACGCACACAAGGGCTGCCTCCCAGGAGACTGTTGGTCTGGACTGTTGGTAAGAAGTTAGAGCCTCAGAGTCTACCCAGAGACAAGACCACCACACTTCTTGCATTCCTTCAGAAAGAGATCTGTCCTACCACTGACTGAGTCTCTGGTCTGAACAGAATGGCAAGGTGACAGGTGCTACTGGGAACACACAGCACAGAGCACTGAATGTACGGCCAGGCCCAAGAACCTTCTCCTACCTCACATCTCCAGAGACCAGAAAATACTAGGAGTCCCCCATTACAGCAACGATATGTTCAAGCACCCCCCAGAGGATACCTGAACCTACAGAAAGTACCAAGCCCTACACATACTATGGTTTTTCCTATACAGACATGCTTATAAAGTGGTGTTTATAAACTAGGCACAGGAAGAGCTTAACAACAATATCTAATTATAAAGTAGAACAATTATGACAACATAATAGAATAAAAGTTATATGAATGTGGTCTCTCAAAACATCTCAGTGTAGTAGTCTTACCATACGATTTTGTCTTTCTTATTAAGTCAAGAACTTTGACCTTTCATTTAAAGAAAGTACTTTAGGCCTTCTCTTTGGCAGACTCAAACTATCAGCACTATTATTTCTGCATGTTGGGGCCATTCTTAAGTAAACTAAGAGTTACCTGAACACAAGTGCTGTGACACTGGGAACAATCTGATAAACAAGATAGCTACTAAAGAGACTGAACAAATGGAAGGGTGGGGTACATAGCACAGATTCACTGGACAAAGGACTGACTCACAACCCTGGTAGCAGAAGCAAGATAGTGTGTGATGTC